AAATAGACAGATCATCTAGGCAAAAAATCAACAACAAAATACTAGAACTGAACCAAGCTTTTGGATGCATGGATTGAATAGATGTCTACAGAGTGTTCTACCCCACAAAATCAGAATATACATTCTTTTTGGCTGCCCATGGGTCATTCTCTGAGATAGACCACAAACTAGCTCACAGAACAGGTCTGAATAAATGCAAAAGAATCAAAGTTATCCCCTGTATATTATCAGATCATAGAACAATCAAATTTGAGATCAATAGCATAAAAAACTGTGGGAACTTCACAAACACATGGAAATTGAACAATAGTCTCCTGAGTAATCAATGGATCACAGCAGAAATTAAGGAAGAAATTAAACACATTTTACAAATAAATGAAAAATGCCAATAGAACATACAGGAATCTATGAGACACAATGAAAGCAACTCTATGTGGAAAATTCATAGCACTGAATGCCCACACTAGGAAAACAGAGTGAGCTCAAATAATGATGAATCTTACACTCCTAGAAAAACAAGAGCAAGAAAAACCCAAAGCTCAAATAAGAGAGGAAATTATAAAGATTAGAGCAGAAATCAATGCTATGGAAACTAAGAAAATGATACAAAGATAAATGAATCGAAGAGTTGGTTTTTTGAAAGAATTAATAAAACTGATAAACCCTTAGCTAACCTTATCAAAAAAGGAAAGAAAAGGTTCAGATCCATGCAATCAGGAATGAAAAAGGTGAAGTAACAACAGATCCAACAGACATCCAGAGGATCATTAATAAATACTATGAGAACCTGTACTCTAATAAAACAGAAAACACAGAAGAAATGGACAGATTTCTAGATATTTATGGATTACCAAAGTTGAATAAAGAAGATAAAAAACATTTCAAACACCTCAATTACAATCAGTGAAATTGAAAATGTAATTAAATATTTACCAACAAAGAAAAGCCCAGGTCCTGATAGAGTCACTGCTGAATTTTGCAAGACATTTAGAGAAGAACTACTGCCATTACTCTTCAAACTTTTCAATGAAAATTGAAAGGGAAGCAATATTTCCAAATTCATTCCTGGAAGCAAGTATAACTTTGATTCCCAAACCAGGGAAAGATGCAACTAAAAAAGAGAACTACAGGCCAATCTCCTTAATGAATATGGATGCAAAAATCCTTAATAAGATACTAGCAAGCATAATACAGAGAATCATCAAGAAAATCATACATCCTGACCAAATTGGATTTATTCCAGGGATGCAAGGATGGTACAACATACGTAAGTTAATAAATGTAATACACAATATTAACAAAGTCAAGGACAAAAGCCACATGATCCTCTCGATAGATGCAGAAAAAGCACTTGATGAAATTCAACAGCCATTCATGATAAAAACTTTGCAAAAAATTGGAATAGATGGTCTATACCTCAAATTAATAAAGGCTATCTATGAAAAACCATCAGCCAACATCATATTGAATGGCCAAAAACTGAAAACCTACATGTTAAAATCAGGAACAAGACAAGGATGCCCATTATCACCACTTCTCTTCAATA